TGGCTGGGCAGCTTGGCCTGTGCTTAGCTGGACCCATCCAGGCATCTGCTGTCAACCTGGGTAACTCTTCTGCAGGTTGTCTGGCTATTAGCCAGGTCCCTGGGGATACCTGGATGTCATCTAGCAAGGTGGTGGGGGCTTGTTTGCATGGTGGTAGTCACAAGGTTTCCAAAGAACCAAGCCCTGCTGTGCCCGCACATTTTAAAACCTCTGTTAATGTAATGTTTGCTAATGTCCCACAGACTGAAGCAAGCGAGGTGGGGCCAGGCCAGGGTCAGTGTGGGAGAGTCTTCCCAAAGGATGTGAAGAGAGAAGAATGATTTATAGCTATTTTGTAAGCTATTCTGTCCCATGAACATTGGTAGAAACTGAAGCTCCAAGCTCAGAGCTCTTGCCCATGTGTACTGACCCAGGGCTGTCTGACCCCAGAACCCACAGTTGCAAGCTGTGATCGCGTCCCAGGCAGCATCTCTTGCGGCAGTGTACCTGAGGGGTGTGGGCCAGCTGGTAGGGTGGGCGTGTCCCATTGCAACAGAAGCCAGGGAGGCCCACAGATGCTCTGGAGTCCCAGCCACCTCTGGCCATTAGGTTTCTCCCTGCCTGCTCCTTAGTAAGCTAAAGACTGTGTATGTTCAGCTTTCCATCCTAGTGGGGCTCCCCAGAGTAGACCCACCAGACACCGGAGACTTTGCCCCCCCCTCCCCAGCAGGAAGCAGCGGTGGGCTCTGTGGGGAGTGGAAAGGAGCTGGGTGAGTCCGCCCCTCTGGATTCTGGAGTCGGCTAATTCATCAGCTCCTCCTGTTCTCTTGAGTAAGTCGCACCCCCTCTGTGAAACTCACCTCTTTCCTCTTTCATCATGAAAATGGTCTGGGCAAAAAAAGAAAAAAAATCTCAAAGCTCCTTTCCAAATGGACAGTTCTGTGGTTTCAGAATTGATCTCTGTCTCCTGAAATCTGCACTGGCTCAGCCCTCGCTGTGCCGGGCACTCTGTCTTCCTGTTGAGGGGACCGGAGAAAGATGGGCACCGAGCTCCACACGGCAAGAGCTGCAGAAGTGGAGAGAAACAGCCCTTAAGGAGTAGCCCGTGGTGGGTCTTGGAGGCCACCCCCAAGAGGGACCGGGAGGAGGAAGGAATAGATAGGAGTTGACATCAAGGGAGAAGGGCCCTCTTCTGGGGGGAAACAGGCAATGAAGGGAAGAGATTTGGGGGGCGTTGTCCTCCACCTGACACCCGTTCTTACCAGCTGATGCCCTGGGCTCTGAGGTCAGGAAGACCCCCACCCATCTCCTGCACTGACAGCGGCAAGCCTTGAAAGTCGCTTCACCTCCTCGCCTGCAAAACAGGGATCAGAGTCTCCATTCTGTAGAGTGCCTGCGGCCATCAGATATGATAAGAGCCACAACATGGGTGGCACCTGGCAAGTAGGAAGTAAGGGGGACGGATAGATCTGTGGTTGTCACAGTTTCCATGTTGTCCTTGTTGGGAACCCGAGGTTGTCTCTGTTGTCCCCATCCTGGCGGAAGTTTGATTCTTGGGGGGAAAATGTTGGAGAGGGCTGGCGGCTTGGAAGACATGCGGGTTGCGTCGTCCGCACACACACTGCTGGCTGAGGTTCCACGGGACGCACCTGACACCATGTCCCACAAAGCTCAACTTAATCTTTCATGAACGGCACGTTCTCCTGAGAACCTTCAGTAGCTTCCTGCATTCTCCTGTGCTCTCAGCAGAGCTTGGCCGACGGCCTGTGCCAGGTAGGCTTGCTGCCCGCTTAGAAAACAGAGTCAAAACCCCAGTGAGTAGAAGAATCCAGAGCAAAGCCGCCCTCTCCCCTGCTCAGCCCAATGACCTCCTTCCCCCAACACACGCCAACAGTCTGCATGCGAGGAATGGTTCTTGCCCTTTTACTCTCCTGCTCACAAAAGATTTGTGCAAATAGATCTCCCTGGAAGTACGGAGTCCACCATTGTACAAAGATGAAGCTGAGGCACGGGGAGATCATTCAGAATCCCAGACCCTCAAGCCCAGGAGAGAACAGGGCCCGACAGTGGAGGCTCAAGGCCAGGGTCAGCGAGCTGAGGCATCTGCAGAATGCTACCTTTACAAGGTGACTCCAGTTGGCTTGGTTAGTGGATGTGATCAAGGGTGACAAATGGAGGGCATTTTACTCTGGTGAGTGTCTCAGTCTTCCATATTGGAAAAGGGGGCAAATCTAGGCAATACCAGAGTTACTGAGTGAAAACTCTGGAAGTCCAGAGAGAAAGCCATTGACAGGAGATAGGTGTGCCCATTTTCTTTGGTTTGGAAGCGTGGAAATGCAAAGAATCTCTTTCTTGGTAATCATCTGAATAAAGTGGACACACATCCTGACCAGAAGACTTCTGGTCATGGAACCTCTTTCTGGAAAGAGGGGAAAATTAAAATAGGCTTTTGCTGTCTCTTTCAACCATAGATTTTGTGTGTACCAGGCATTTCTGATGCCTTGGAGGGGATAAAGAAAAAAGAAAAAGAAAGCAGAAGAAAAATCCTCATGGATTTCTTTTCAAACCTGTCCCCAGAACACTCCTGTGAGAAGCACCTTTTGTTTCTTCCTCTGGCCTCTGTCCTCCCCCACTTCCTTGGCTCAGTGCTTTCTGGTAGCCTTGTGGACTTGGCCTCCAGACAATAAGCGCCCTGAACGTGTAGACAGGACCCCAGGTGCCCTTGGGATCCCAACGTCCTTCTGTTCCCTTTGCCAAACACCCAGGGTTATTATTTCTCAGTCACTTCAAGCCCCATCAAGGTCCCTGTCTACACATCTCTGGTTGATAGGTCCAAGAATCTGAGCTGGAGCCTCAGGTCTATTATTAGGAAACTGGGAGAATAGCTGTGCTCTACGATGCTGGGAGAATTCTGGAAGGCACCTGGTGTGTAGGAAAACATCCATAACTCTAGTTGTTTCTCATGTTCTCCTTGTTGGTTTTGGTGCTCCTTGCCAGTCAGTGTCCTCCGTTAGTCTAAATCTTCTGTGGCCATTCACTGCTGTAGATCAGTAGAGCCGTTTTCCATCTGGACTGAGAGAGGAGAGGTATAAGAGTTTGGGCTGGATGAGGATCTTTGGATAGTTTACTATAGTCACAGCCCACACCTTTGCATTAGTCTGTTTTCTGTTGCTATAACAAAATAGCTGAGGCTGGGTAGTTATAAAGAAGAGGATTACTTAACTCACAGTTTTAGAGGCTACAAATCAAATCCAAGATGGGGAGGCCTCATCTTGTCGGCCTCTGGTGAGGGTTCCTTTGACTATATCACAAGATGGCCAGGTAGCAGGAAGGAAATGGCTCTGTGCAGAAGAGTGAGCACTCCCATGGTGAGACAAAAGACAGAGGATCCAGGGCTCAGGATAACAGTTCTTCTAAAACACTTTCATGGGAACTTGCCAAGGATCCATGAAAAGTACATTAATTCGTTCCCAGGGCCCACCCCCAGTGACCTAGCCACCTCCCACTAGCCCCCGCCTCTGGAAGGTTCCACACCTGAACACTACCACACTGGAAACACTGAAGGTTTGGGGGCAAGCGCATCCCAAACCATCGCACCATTGAAAAGAGGAGCCTGAGGCTTATGAGCAAGGTGACTTTTGCTATCCTGTGTTCAGTAGGAAGCAGAAGACGAGAACCAGCATGGCAGATGTTTTTATGTCTATTTATGGGTAAGAGAACTGAGTGGGTCATATTCCGAGACCAGTTCAGATTTGCAGCTGATGGACCGCCCGCGGGTGGATGGAGGTAGAGGCCCACAGGAGACCTGGCAGAGGATTCAGGGACAGGCCAGGTCCTCACACCCCGCCTCCCTTTCTCTTCCAGGCTCCAGATGCTGGAGGCCATCTGCAAGCACTGGGAGGGACCCATCAGTCTGGCCCTCTACCTGTCGGATGCTGAGGCCCAGCAGTTCCTCCGCTACGCCCAGGGCTCCGAGGTGCTCATGAGCCGCCACAACGTGGGCTACCACATCGTGTACAAGGAGGGCCAGTTCTACCCTGTGAACCTCCTGCGCAACGTGGCCATGAAGCACATCAGCACCCCCTACACGTTCCTGTCGGACATCGACTTCCTGCCCATGTACGGGCTCTATGAGTACCTCAGGTAAGGGCCTGCTGGGCCGGCACTGCCCACGCTGCTCCTGGAGCTGGAAGGCTTGTCGGGTCGTGCGGGGCCGGAGCAGAAGCCCCTTAGGATCCTGCTCTAGTCATGTGCTTTCACAGATGGGGCAGCTGAGGTCAAGAATGGGGAACGGCCTGCCTGGTCACCTAGAGGTAGAAGGCCTCCTGCCAGGTGTGGGAGATCAGGAGGCGGTTGTCCCGGGGAACAGCCCGGAGCCCGAGTTTGCATAATGAAGTGTCAGTTGGGTCTAGGAAGCATCCTGTCTCCCATCTAATGCTCTTTCTATAGCATCTATGAAAACACACTGTCCCTCTTCCAATTTTGGATCAGACAGCCTTCACGTAACCGTTCTAAAAAGATCACTGCCTATTCTTTAAAACAAATCTAAGTGATAATGATGCCTAACATCTATTGAAGTGCTTGCCGGGTGCCAGAAGCTGTTCTGAGTGCCTGACAAGTCGGATCTCACCCCCCCACCCCCCACCCTGCCGCAAACCCTGCCTCAGGTGGAACAAGACTAAGCCACTGGCCCAAGGTGACACAGGAGCGAAGGGGCAGCTGGGGTCAGAACCTAGCCCCTGACTCTGGACCCACATGCCTAATCACCTCGAGGCCGTCTCTGGATCTCCAATGTCCTTTTCTAACTGTCCCCACCTAGAAGGACAAACGTCTAGCCGCTGGAGAAAGCCGTGACGGAGAGCTGCTTGGCTGTGTGGGGAGTGGCATTTATTACAGAATAACAAACAGCATGGACTGAAAGACACTAGAATTCATATAGCCCAAGGTTCCGTTCCCTAGGTACAGATGCACCAACCACACTCTTAAAGAATCCGCCTCTCCCTACTGTCATTCTTCAGTATGCGTTACCTCCACTACCAGGGCAGTGCTTCCCTGCCTCCCAGGTACCATGAGGTGGTTTGCATTTCTTATCCTGTTGGATCCAAAAGCATGCATACCTGCCCCATTTTCCAGGGGTAGCAGTGAGGCTCAGAGAGGCCAAATCCCCTGCTCAAGTCCAAGGGTTGTGTCAGGATTTGAACCAGGGTCTGTCGGATTCCATGTTGCTGCTCTGGGGTTTCTGACTGTCCAAAACAATGTGATTTGGCAGGATGTGATTTCTTTCTCTCTTTTTCTCTGGCCTGCCCTCCTTCCATCCATCTCTATCTCTCTTTCCCTGTCCCTCCCAACCCCTTCCTATCTGTGCCTCTCTCTTAAAAGATCTCCAACATTCTTTAAACCTTTTGTGCTTCAGCCGAAGCACAGGTTTCATATCAGCAGCCTCCCTGCCCTGCTGTCTCCAGAGCAAGGAAGACAGCCTGTGTCCAGCCACTGGATTGGGTTCATTTCCAGGGCCATGTTGGGGTTTCATAGCATCAGCCCCTCTTGTGAGCAGGGAGGAGCCCCTGTCGGGCTCTCTGATAATAGCAGAGTGGGCAGCACCCGGACGTCTTGCAGGCAGGCAGGGGCCGGAGCACAGAGCTCTGTGAACCAGGACTCCTGACTGTATCAGGCTCTTAAGAAATGGAGTTTTTCCCCAGCTCAGGCTCCTGCTGGGGCTCTGAATCCCAGTGTGTGGGTTGAGGGTGCCCCCATGTGGTCACCTCTGTTCCTGCAGCTTCTGAAACCTCCAGATTTCAGAGACGGAAGGAACAGAGAGGTGGGAGAAGAGTGTGGCCCAGTACCGCCAACATTCCCCACCCCCGACCTGGACCCATCAAAGAGAGGCTTTTAGGACTGGACCCTGCCCATCGCCACTTTCTATTCTTAAGAAGCACCTGGAAGCCTTCACTCGGATGAGTTGAAAGGGAACAGGCCCCATTCCATCAACACTGTGATCTTGACTCTCCAAGAGCTATTTTATGACTTTGCCTCGTGGGCATCATGTTTGAAAACAAGTATACAAGAGCAGACATGAATGTTGGCCCCTTGGGCTTTACTGATCCAAGACCCTAACTGATGATCAACATCTTATTCAATTTGAGGTAATTAATATTGCCTTTTAATTAACATTTTTGCTTAATGCAGAATCACTGGAGGTTGCAGTTTGGCCACCTTATCCCAGGTGCCTGTGGTTCCCCTCAGGGGGTTTGAAATACTGCAAATTGCTCCTAGATTCAATTATTGTGTAAGCAGACCTTGCCCAAGAATACTGAGCACAACCTAATAGGGAGACCATAGACTCTCCACTGCCGTATGGAATTCCTGCTCCAGGGGATCAGGACTGAAGTTAGGCAGTCCTGCAGAGGACCTGGGAATCTGCATTTCTACATAAGACTTTTAATATCAGCAACTTACTAAAAATAAGTTTTTAATGCTGCTAAGCTAGACCATACATGTCCCCAGGCTGCAGTGAACCTGCCCCCCCCCAGCTCCTCCAGGCCACCAGTCTGTGACCTCTGACTTGGTTATTCCTTAGGCACTGAATTTAAGAAAACAGTAAGGGACATGATTCTATCAGAAGCCCTAAATAAGCATCTACTGTCCATTTCCTTTGAAGGCCACTATATTGACTGGTAATTGGCTTGGGAAGAATTTTTTCTAGTATTTGGGAAGGATTTATTTCTGATCCATATATTATCTGTAGATATATCCCAACAACAGCAGAATTATACCACTGGTTTGGGATGAGGTTAGGGATGCTGTTAGCTGTGGAGCTCAGCGGGGCCAGCAGATCCCCTAATTGACTGACTTCTTCAGCACTTATATCTGACAAAATGCTAGACCCAGATTCTGTGAAGATATGACTAATAAAAATGATGGTTACAATGAACTGAGCCTGACCAAGTGCCGGAAGCTTGGTTTCCATCGCCTGTACTCTGACACTTCTCTATGCAGTGGTCACCAAACCAAGGCCCCAGAAAACTTAGCCTTATTGTGAGAGGAAACCGTGGACTTCGGTCTACACAGCCTGCGCAGAAGGAGCCAGATCACTCTCAAACCCCACAATACGGAGCAGGCTAACCAGCAGCCCTCTGGCTGCACCCCCAGACACTTGCTCATGTCACCCTTCTTGAGGTCCTCCCTGGTTTCCAAAAAAAGTTCAGCATCGTAGCTCTCTGAGCGGTTGCCTAGCAACCAGCTAATATTTCAGCAAAAACAAACAGTTCAATCGGAAAATAATGAAATCAGCTCTATTCAGGGACAGAGCTGCAGAATTTCACTAAAATCTCTCTTCCACGCCTTCTCCCGTTTCTGCTAACGAATGAGCTTGTAGATGTGCGGCTCGCACTTCTGTTTATAGAAATGTCCACTGGAGTTCAGCAGGTGTGGCCAAATCACACAGACCTGCATTTGAACCCAGATCCTTGATACTTTCCAAGAATGTGATGTGGGGCACTTCTGACCCACCCTTTCTCAGTTAATCCAGGAGCTGGTAACAGCCTCTTGCAGGGTCAGTGCTCAACAGCTAGTTTTCTGTCACACGGCCTCTTCACAGCGCTCAGTATTGGACTCCTTTTCCAGGGCCCAGTGCCTACCCTTGTAAACTGCCCGCCACCTTCCAAACAGCCGAGGTAACTACATGGAACCGTTTGACATTTTCACTCCCTGAAATGAGAACTATATACAAATGGCCCCTGACCTATGACAGCTCAGTGTGCATTTTTTTTTTAACTCTACAAGGTTGCAAAAACAGTACGCAGTCAGCAGAAACCTTGCTGCACGTTTTGAATTTCAGTCTTTTCCAGGAGGAGTGATGCACAGTCTGCTTCTCTCTCCTGATTCTGGGGGGACCACGAGCTGCAGCCCCCAGTTACAAGGGGAACCACCAGTCTCCTCAGTGTGCTGTGTGGCTACACTATGACATCCAGGACACTTGGTGTAGAGAATGTATTTTCCACTTTCCACATTTCAACTCATAATGGGGTCTGTCAGGTCGTAACGCCATCATAAATGCTCCTTACTCAGCATTGACTTGGACTTGGGAATGGTACTTGACATCCCTCACTTATGGTATCTGTGAGATGAGGATAATACTGTTCTTCCCTCATAGAGACTTGGAAAGCACCTAGCAGTGCCCAGAACATTCTTCTTTCCATGAGCAGCCATTGCCTCTCTGCGATGGCCAAGCACTGTTCTGGGCCATGGAACAGTGGACAGAAAGGGCAAGGTCCCTGTCCTCTGGAGGTTTACACTCCACCTGGATGTGCTATTGCTATTGTTCTTATCACCATTAGAGATGCAGAGATAAAAGATACAGGACCCCAGTCTAACAGCAGATGGCCCAATGCGGCCAGGTGGGACAGGTCTCAGGAAGAGCTGCTAGTTGAGATTGAGCTTGAAGGTCAGTGGTTCAAATGTCATGAGACACATTTGAGGGTCACTGAAGCCACTGGTGTGGTTGAAGTTCCAGAATGACAGGGATATCAGGAATGTGACATCTCAGCCAAGAGTGACCTCAACCATGGACTGGGGCACATTTCTAGCCTCTTCCACCTGCAGAATTCTCATCTCTGATTGGTGCTTTAAAGCTTAAAGAGTCTCTGCTACCCACGCTGATTCTGTTTTTTAGGGGACACATGTGCCACACTGGCAGGGATGTAAGAACAACGAGTCAGTTTTATTCTGTGCTAGGCAGGAGGGCATCTGGCCAACCCCCATTCACATTTTCCCAGGCACACGATGGCTGCTCCGTAAATTCTTAAGTGAGTGCAAAAATGTGAACAAGGCCAGGTAGAAGTGGCGCCAAGTGAGATTTACTGGCTGCCTTCCAAGAGATGTTTCCAGGTGGCCTTTCCTTGGGTTACTTTGTTATTTTAATTCTGCTATATCTGTGACATTTAACGTTTATTGAGCACTTACTATGTGCCAAGCACTGTGATAAGCACTTTTGTGTGTATTTTATCATTTAACATTACCATGGTTCATTTTACACAAGAGGATGTTCATGCTAGGCCTCACGTTCAAGGGCGCAGCACCACTAAGTAGGCACCTGGCTTGCTCTGGGCTCATCCAGAGGTGTCTGTGCCTAGCCTCCTGGTGGA